TACCTTTCACATGTTGTATTGCCTGAAAGCAGCTGGGTATTACAATTTTGTGCTATCCCATCCACATTTACATTACTTGGTAGAAGAAGAACTGGTGTGAATTTTATTTTTTTTTTTTTTTTTAGCTTCAGACTGGGTTTTCTGCATTAAAAATCTGTTCTCAACTGTGCTTGGCAAGCAACAGCACTTTGCGTTGTATAAAGGGAGCTGCAGGGAATTCCTTTTAACTTTCTTGCTGAAGTGCTTACTAGCCTTTATCAAAAGACTCCTCAGCCCTTAACAGACTCTCTTTAATTGGCCACTTGCATGGTCAGTTAATATACTGTGGTGGAAACCAAGTGGTAAAGTGTGAACAACTGAATTTGGCACTATAAACTCGGTGACCACTCCAAAACCTGTGCCTATTTATATACAAGGCAGTGTTTTGTCATGCTGATTTTTATTAGCACAGATTAGATGCAGACAACTTGGTAGATGTCACGTTAAGCGCGGACTATTTAAAACACGTAAGTCTGCAAAGGAGTGATGGGGCTTGGAGCCTTAGCTCTGTCCTTCCCCTGGCAAGCAGGGGGATGGTGCGGGGCCAGGCTGGAGCTGCTTCTCTGCTCTTTGTCCTACAGGACAGGCTGGACCATCAGTGGATGGAGAAAAACGTGCCAGGCTCATGGAGTTAATCCACCCTCAGGAAAGGTTTTCGGCTGTTCTGTGCAGAGAAATGTTTGGTAGAGAATGCCAGGAGCACTGGGCATGCCTGGAGCACGGTGATGCTCTCAGTGATTTCAGAAATGATGCAACATATGATGCATTTCTTTTGCTACCTCCGAAGACAATGTGAGGAAAGCTGGCTTAGCGATGGAGCAAAAACGGGTAATGCCAGAGGAGGAAGGTTTCTCTGGAGTTCTCTGTGACATCTCAAGCTGCTCCATCTGCGGTGGCAACAGGCCCGTATACTTTTGTGTGGGTAGGACCACATGTGCAGTGCTAGTACTCTGTGTGCTATGAACCTGCAAAGCTACTACTCTGAAATCTCACCTTCCTAAGAGCCAAGTCCTAGGATTTATCTCCGATCGTTAAAATTCTAATTGGATGCCTCCTCAAAGCTGAAACAAATATTTGTCCCTGGCTATAATTTTTTGTTATAATTCTGGAAGAATTGCAAGCATTGTAAACAAAAAAGTTAATTATGAAAAATGATTATATGTGTCTGCTTGCCTATTTATTTGGTCTCTATTCATAGGAGCATTAAACATGCTGCAGCTATATTTGTCCAGCTAAAAAAACCCCACCTGTGCTACGCATTTATAGAGCCTATATAATTTTAGAGAGACATTGCTCTTGCTCAGAGTGAGGACACTAGACATTCCCAGCTCATCTATTGCCTTCCTCTTTCTAGGAACAGGAAAAAGAGGTGAAGAGGTCTGTATCTTGGCATCTGGGTTTTGGGTTGTACGGTGGTTAGCTGGACAGACTCTTTTTGCTGTCAAGGTGTGTAAGATCAAACATGAATATTGTCATTCCTGTTACATATGGAATCATAGAATCATAGAATGGTTTGGGTTGGAAGGGACTTTACAGATCATCTAGTTCCAACCCCCCTGCCATGGGCAGGGACAGCTTCCATGAGATCGGGTTGCTCAAAGTCTCACCCAACCTGGCCTTGAGCACTTTCAGGGGTGGGGCAGTGACAGCTTCTCTGGGTAACCTGTTCCAGTGCCTCACTACCCTGGGATGTCCTTCCCTAATCCTTGGAAGGGTCTAAAACTGAAAGTACGTAAATTTGGAATAGTATGTGCAAGTGCATATGCGCGAACATTTATAAATAAAAGTTGTGCAAAAGAATCTTGCCATAAGGTGCACTACAAAGCACTTTATATTTCTATACACTTGCACGAGTATAGTCACTAATTGTAAAAAGAGGTAGTCTCTGAAATCATACAGGTAATCCTGCAATCTCCTACATTGATGTAGCCCTACTTCACAGAGAGAGAGAGAAGCAGTGCTCATTAAAGCCAAGAAAAAGGCAACCAAGTTTCATTTATAACATTAATATCTGGCATAAACTCCAAAGCTGGTTTGTGTCTCTGATCATTAATATTAGCTGCTGCAAGAAAAGCTGCCGTTTTCAATAATCACGCAAATAATATAAGTAAGAGTACTAGTGCGTGGCAGATGCAAGCATTGCGTATCTGTTACCGAGCTCATGAAGCTGGGCTTTGCTGGACGATTTCCAGCTTTGGCAGGGGGAACTTCAGCTGAGTAAGAAATCCAGGCTGTCATTTGTGAAGTATCTGGCATAGGTGCAAAGACTCCCCGGACTTTGGGAAAATGAAATAGCTTTTTTTTTTTTTGTCTTTTGTTGCAGGATGTGTTCCCTCCCAAAGAGTTAAAATCAATACCAGGGTGCCATACATTGTAAACGTTTAGCATTTATTATGCATTTAAGTGTGCACAGCACATACACCACAGTCTTGAACAGCACCTGTATAAAACTACAGACAGATTCTGGTAAATGGTGAAAACTCATACCATGTAACGTTGTTATCAAGGTTTTACCACAATATTTCAAAGTTACAACAACTACCTCTGAGTATATCTTGTGTGAGGCCGTCAGTTGTGGATTTAATGGAGTGAAAAGTGACAAAGAAGAACCATTCCCAGAGAAAATCTTTGTGGTCTGATTTTGCTATCTGAAATCTGGAACGAAATTAACGTTTGTCAGAGGTAGCAGTGATAATTACACAATGATTACTCACATATAGAAAACATAGAAAGTACAGAAATCCCCCAGATTACAGAAAAAAAAACATCTAAAAATCCTTAGGCGTGACATTTCCTAGGTGCTGTCTCTTGATTTGGCTTCCCTTTTATTTACTGTTATTTTTGTTTTGACAGCAGCTGGCTTAAGATCTGGTCCTGGTCTTTTCTGGTCTTACTGAACTTTGGTGAGTAGATTTTGTCTTCAAGGTCATGTGTAAGTAGAGGATACAAGCAAGTCTATACCATTACAAAGGAACAAAGGCTTTTGTGTAGGAATGTAAAGAGAAGAAAAAAAAAATCTGAACTCAGATTTACGTGTAGTCAGAAATAACTAGTTTAAATTGGAAGACGATCTGTAAACATCCTCTAAAGTCATCAAACATTGTGGTTAGTCCTGGTTCTCACTTAAAGTGTCGATGCCCCAAAGACAATGTGTCTTTTAAAGAAAAGAAAGAAAGAAAGAAAGAAAGAAAGAAAGAAAGAAAGAAAGAAAGAAAGAAAGAAAGAAAGAAAGAAAGAAAGAAAGAAAGAAAGAAAGAAAGAAAGAAAGAAAGAAAGAAAGAAAGAAAGAAAGAAAGAAAGAAAGAAAGAAAGAAAGAAAGAAAGAAAGAAAGAAAGAAAGAAAGAAAGAAAGAAAGAAAGAAAGAAAGAAAGAAAGAAGGAAGGACAAATGGATCCTTTCAGCGATTTCCCCACAATCAAACCTGTCTTTTCCTTCATCACATTAGAGACATGAGTTACACTTGCAAAATATATAAAGAAAAATATAGGGTTACTTGATGACGATATAGTACTGCAGCCTGACAGCTGTCTGCAAATATTTTCACCATGATTATCCTTACTAAAAGTAAACCACTGGGTAAAGATAGCTCAAACGTGACAAGGCTCAAATAGGATGCAACCAACTCCATCCTGAATACTTTTGGCTACATATGGAAAAAAAGTGAGATTTGGGATTACGATTGTTCCCTCAGGCCCTCCTCCAGAACTGTAAGACCAAGCAGAAGAGTGTGTACCTTCCTTCCATGCAGATTTTGTTAGGAGACTGGCTTTGAGAGTTAGTGAGGTAGAAATTAATCAACTTTGTCAGGGAATGAGACAGAAAAAAAAGCAGCATATTTCTCCTTCCAAACACTGCACCAAAAATAATAAATAGTACAAAACAACCTCGATTCCTTGTAATCAATCTAAATTCTCTCAATGAAGCTTGCGTTTTCTACGAACCAGCAAATGCTTTTGCCTTTTGAGAAATTGTGAGTATTATAGAGTTTCACAAACTTTGAAAAATGAATGTAGTCTCCAAATGTGAAAGGCAATTTGATTTGAATAAAATGTAATCTGTTCCCAGCAGCATGTTTCACAGTGCGCTCGTTGGGGAAGGGACAGACACTTTTGTTTTGTTTTAGCCTAATGCCAAGCAATCGTATCAAATCAAGCTTCCATTAAGGGCCACAAAAGATCGTATGCTCCTGTTTATCTAGATAGAAAAAGAAAAAAGCCCCAACTCTGCTGAGTTTATATAGGTGTTTAAGCCTCTCTACTGCCTGGCAGCTCTAAGAAGACTGACTGCAGGAAAGTTCAAAGTTCAGCACTGGCAGATCTAAAAACAGATTTGTGGGGTAGCTCTTCAGCACCGCGCTTTCTGTACCGAGGTAAGCCGATACTGTTCCAATTAAATAGCAATGCCGCACAAAGGAGGTCAGGCATTGTGTGTGGCTCCATGCTGGCATCCCACCCAGGCACCTCCGCCAGCGCTCCTTCTTGGAGGCCAAGAGCTTCTTTGGGAGTCACGGGGGGTTTGGAAAACACGCAGAGGAGAACAAAGCCACTATAACAAACAAACAAACAAACACGCGTACAACGATAGACACCGTACAACACACAAACAGTGCAAAACATTGTAACAGAGGAACTGAGTTTCACCTGGTTTATGACACGGAGTAGCAGCACACCTGTGATAACTTAAAAACGAATTAAATAAACCACAAAGCAAAAAGTCTGTTGCACCACGAAATGATATACCTTGGGTTGGAGGTTTGTTTTGTTTTCAGAACTTAAAAAAAAAAAAAATAATCAGAACTATAAATAAATTTTGTGGCAATATATACAGATTTAAATTATTAACTTAAATATCTTACACCTGCTCTTGCATAAAACTCTCCAGTAAAAGTGCACCATGTTTCTTTTCCCCAAACGTGTTCTGTGTCTTCCCCTGTGCTGAGGTAGGTCTGAAGGGAGATGTCTCAGATTCTAGGAAGAAAATGTGTCACTGTCATTGTGGGAGATACTTTATTGCCTTTCTTTGTTCTTCCATTTTTGCTCAGGGCTATGTACATCCCGGGGTAAATCCTGGATTCGTAAGCATTGTAGTTGTTTGGCAGGAGAATCTCTTTGAATTTGCACTCGTCATTGAAATGGGTCTGAAATGAAAAGGGAAGAATGAGAGGGAAGGAATTTTAAACATCAGGTGTGGAAACATTCTTACTACTAGGTGTAGAAGGTGTGCTGCAGGGAGATGTTCAGCTGACTGCCCCCCACTTAGTAATCTTTTGAAGTGGTCGCCCAAATGAAGCTTCAAACAGGACTTGGGAGTCAAAGGATCATTAAGGATGCTGTGTCCAGGCCAGGTATGTACACCTAAAGTTGGGAAGGACACCCGTAGCAACGTCTGTGCTCTTGAGGGAGAGGGACATATTTTAACAGAGCTGCAGTGGGGTAAGGCCCAAGCCCAATTCTGCTGCCCTGCTCATCTAATTGCTCAGCAGTTGTCCTACCAACCAGCAATAAATCGCCTGAGAGGTTTCAGAAAAATCTGAATGGTAGCACTTTCTCATACTGCTTGAGGAGAAAGAGGCATTTTAAAGACACTCAGTGTGGGCAATATTTTCTCCTTCTTTGGTTTTAAAATAGAAGGAAGGGTTTGGGTTCACTTGTGTTAATGGATCAGGAAAACAGAGCTGACAAAATGCACACTTCTAGTGAAGAGGTTTCATTTGTAACTAAGTACAAAGAGGGACAGGTGTTACAAGTGTGTTGTTATCTGCAGAGTAACAAATGAACTCATCCCTTATGATTGGGCAAAAGTCTAGGGTTTGGCAAGAGAAGTCTCAGCCTGCCAAGCTGAGCACTGCACTGGCAGTTACTTCATCCAGGACACCAAAGCATCAGTCTTCATAGAAATGATGCAAAGGGAGCTCTTGCACTTTAGTGATTGATTCTGCCTGGCTTTTATATCAGTCAAAGTCCTCTTTAACAGGACTGATGCCCTAGAAAATAATTCTTGATCCTTCATGTCTTCATGGGAAAATGCCCTAGTTAACTTCGACATAGTTTGGCTTCGACATAGTTTGGCTCTTCCTCAGCCCAAGTTTCTTCAAAGCATATTTGAGAAACACGGAATAGAAAAGCCGTGGGTAAGGAAAGAGACTCAGGAACATGGGTTTGAAATGATGTTGAGCACAGTAACTTTCACAGAGGTGAACTCAAAAGCAGGACAGCTCAACATGAGTGAAGACATGCACTGTTATTGTCCATCCTAAGTATATTTTATAAGATGCCTTGATCTTTTCCACATATCCAATGTGAAAAAAGTTCTGTATTGCCTCCTAATAGATCTGCCTTCTTATAAATAGAAGACCAAACCTTGAGGATGCTGAACTCTCATGGGAACAGATTGTCTGATCAAGAGCATTAACGAAGAGTGATCTATAGGTATGTGACAGGCACTGATTCATCCCATCCTAACAGATGATTTGTGGGCGCCTGGCAGATCACAAGTTCAAATGCACTCTAAGAGAGAGAGTGAGTGACTGCCATACCTGCTTAAGGCTATTTGTACTTAAATACAAGAAAGATATGGCCTGAGGCTAGCTTGAGGTCTTGTCACACAAGTGACTGACTACTCTGTTGGTCTATGTGGTAGGCAAGATGGGTAGCCATGGGTTGGGTGACTAGTTTTTATGGGAGAACCAAGGAAGTTTTATTTCAAAAGCTCAGTAAGCAGCATACATGGACAGCACACCTTCTGTTGGCAAGGCAGTGAGGACTGCTCTGTGTTGCCTGACCCAGGAGGGGCAAGGATGGGGCATGGGCAGCTTTTAGCATCATGCACACTTCTCACCCCAGCTGACCATGATTCCCTCCCCAGACACACAATTGGTGGCTACTTACGGATCCATAGAGTTTGCCTTTGCTGTTCATGGCCACGAAGAGTCCACTTCTAACACCAAATATGCTCACCACTCCTCTTTCCACGGGAGAGATTTCCAGCAGACCTACAGAAGAGATGCAGGAATCAGAGGGACAAAGGGCTGTGCCCTGAAGGAGTGTGTGGTGCTAGTGCTGCTCTCACCCAAAGGCTCACATCCCCAGTGTGTTGTGGATCCCCATGCCCCAGCACTGCTGTGGGTGGCCTCAGAACCCCAGCCTCCCACTCCACATGCTTCCCCATGCTCCATGCTGGGACCTATCTTCTTTTAGCTAAGTATCTATTTTTACTTCTCCCCCAGGCATCCTCCTGTATAGACAGAGTTAAAATAAGCCAGAGTGTGCTTGGGGCAGATGAAACATTTGTCATCACGCAGCTTATATCCGCTCCCCCCGGATCTTATTGTTTCAGTTGGATATCAGAGTCATGGGGCCACGGGGTTAAGTCTCCAGCAGATGCTTTTCAAGTTTGGGGGAGAGCCGGGCCCTGGCTAAGCTCTCCCCAGCTCCTGCCTGAAATGGGCTGCCCACGGACTGCAGATCCTCCAGATGTTGAGGCAACCCCGACACCTGATGCCTGTCGGCGGCAACGGGACGGCACAGTTCTGAGCAGCAGCTCCGATGAGCTCC